TAATAAGTGTTTAGGAGTAAAGCCAACAGTCATATGATTGTTTGTCGTGGGCTTGTCCAGCACAATTGTATCTCATCTATTTTTCCTTCTGTATAACAATTCTAGAAATATTATGCTCTTTTTTAAATATTAGAAATATTACATATTATGATATAAATTATAAAACCTACTTTCACACTGAAAAGAATGCAACATGTGATACTATGCAATTTTACAAACCTGAGATTCATTGTAATTGAACAATGACATGTACATGTAACATCAATAACACGGGATATTCATGTTATAGAACATATGATGTTCCCATTGGATACTGAATATTACATATAACAACACATAATGTTGATTCTCTGATGTATCCATGTTACGTGAACCAAGGTGCATTATCAAGTTTAATAACAAGACAATTTAAAAAATCAATAAATACGGATGTGGTTTATTTTTAAAAGATAGAATATTAAGTATTTGTTTCACACAATTTATTTGAAATCATTTATGTTCAAATTCATTTTCAACCGAACATTCTCCTAATAAAATAATTTTGTACATTAACTCACAAAACTTTCCTACTTTTTAAGCAAGCATTCTCCAAAAAATAAATTTTTATTTTTGTTTGTTTGCTTTATTTTGGTTTATTATATGACAGTAAATTATACAAGTAATCGATTAGAATTAAACTTCTTTATTTGTTTTTGTAGATAATTTTAGATTGCTGAATTCATCAAGTACAAAGTGTGAAGTGTAAAGCAATAATGAAATAAAATAAGGACATCGAAGTTAGACTGGCAAAATCTCTAGCAAGAGAAAAATTCGCAGGCTTCCTAACACAAGGGTAGTTTCAAGAAGGCTTTATATAAAAGTTTTAGCAAATTCTGATAAAAATTGATAAAAGAAATTGTTTTATAAGACAATCACTTAGAGAAAAATAAAAAAGCAAAATCCTCCAGGAAACTAAAAATCCCAATCCAAAAAATACAATTACTAATTAACTATCCACCTAATTATTTTTCTCTGCTAATTTATGAAAAGTGTTAGGAATTTACTTAATCTTGTACAGTGGAAAATTCATAATTTTTCAATTCCCACCATGGATCTGCTTTGTGTTTAGATAGAAACTATGTTGAGAATAATACTTTTGATGAATTCTATAAATTCTTTTGCTGATTCTCGAACTCCAAGGATCACGATCTGCAATCCAA